TTTCTATTGTTATTGTGATTTCAAGCATAATTTCTAAAATTTGATAGATATGGTGACATCGCTAGTGTAAATACAATGTAGTATCTATGCATTTTAATGCCTACCTGGGATGATGAAATTTAGCAAATTTTATAAGTGCGTAGCGAAAAACACACAACCCTCTCATACGACTAAACGCGGGGTTCTACGGGGGCGCCCACGGGACTCGAATCTTGTCGAACGTTAACGAAGATATAGGAGTGCCGTTTGCACAAATACGAGCATTGGGAAAGTCCAGTTTAACACCGCTCTCATTACCCGCGGGCTCCCAATACCCCACGTTCCCCTACTTTGGAACGTTCTTATCGTAAGCGGCATGAACTGGATTTAAATTTTAAGTGTAAAGTTTGACGTGCTCTTGACCCTGTAAGTGAAGGAGCAGCAACGTGGTACTGTTATAAACAACAATTTAGATTATATAGTACGCATAGATATAAGTTTTACTATAGATAAGGCTTCTTCAGGCTGATTTTCTTAAATTACGTACCCTTAAATTCGTATGATACTGTGAATTTTCACGTCATTTATTATAATTTGTGTAGGTATAATTTAGATTTTTTTTGTGAAATAACTCCAACGCGTTGAATAAATATTTCTATGTGTTGGATCTTTGTTAATAATCATAACAAAACTTGTGTGAGTAAGTTTATGACTTGATTACGGAGTAAAATAACCGATTTGTTTGTTGTTTCGAAATTAACCCGTTTTTCACTTTCATGTTTTTGGTGGACATAGGATTACAATAAAAAATATTTTGCGTTTCAGTTTGTGGGTAGTCCTGTTTGTGATCTCTTATATAAATGTATAACGTAACTTACGACTTCGAATTCTCCATCGCCTTGACCCATGTATATGCTAGTTTCAAGTTTCGGTTTGATGGATTCTTCTGTAATTATTTCAATTTTAGAGATATAATACACAAACGAACTCTGCTAGATTTCTGACTTATTTTTTTTTTTTTACATAATGCTGTAAAAAGTAGTTCGATTCTTAGGGTCGTATACTAGAACTCTACTCAATGCTCAAGTCAGGATTGCAATTGAAACACAAGCACTGGAAATACGACCCTAATGGCAGGGACTTGAGTATGATTTCGAGTGCTTTAAACCATACTCAAATCCTAACTTGAGCATTGAGTAGAGTTCTAGAATACGACTCTTAGACTGCAGTATACCATTGATATTTTTAAATCAATACATGTTGTAGTTTAATTCACTGAATTGTTACTTACGTACTTTAATAGTAAAACTTCCTGATAAAAATTATATACCGATACTTGGGGAAAAAAATGTGTAAATACCAAACTATACACAAAGTTAACAAGATTAGTGAAAAATAACATTTCTTTTTCACTTGCAAAAACGTTAATAGTTTTAGTTCACATCCTTTTCATTTTATAGCCGTGACTACGTAAAAAAGTTATTTTACGTAAGTAAAAAAACCTTTTTTGGTGCAGAACTAAATTTTGAGTAAACATCTTATGCAAACTGTAGAAGGAGTATGAAAATTGAGCCCAATTACATACAGAACTCATTTTTTGTTAAGCAATTTCTTTCCCAAAATATAAGACGGCTTTCCAGCAGTGAAATTTCCATGAAATGAGAATTTATGTATGTACTAATAAAATATTAAGATTAAACCAATTGCGTGGGAAAAATCCCGATAAAATATTAAGCTTCATGTGGGAATTGAAAGTTTTAGAGAAAACGACATGTCAAAGCCACAAGATGTTTGGTATCGGGTTCATAGCCACCGTGTACTTACCGGCTAATATTTTCTGTGGAGTTGAAGTAGCGACATTGCTATTATGGTCTGCACAATTGTCCAAAGCCTCGTGGTCCCCCTTTGATGTGATCATAGATATTTCATCGTGTGCTGTAGCCCCGAGTTCCTCATTTTGTCGGTTTTTCAGCATCGAAAGGTAGTCCCAGGGTTGTCCTAATTATTTTACAATATTAAGTTTATTGCATACCACCGTGTTTTATTACCATGATTTTTTTTTTGTTGAATTACTCCACTAGTTTGTTGTAATTATTAATACAAATATCGAACGCTACGACAAAAAAGTCGTTAAAACTAAAAACAAAGATCTGCAACAAGCACATAAAGAAATTCCTAAGGTCTGCGGGTTCGTTTAAACTCAGATGGAGAGAGTCAGCCATACCGTGGTATGGTATGGCGTGAACGCTGGTAGGATTGAAGGAATTATTCTTTGTGTCCGATCTTTGTATTAATAATAACGTTATTGCAAATTTTACAAAACATTCGTTACTAAAGATAATAATGTTAAAAAAAAAATCATCTACTATTAGAACATCGTGATGCTTTTAACGACTTCGGTAAGAAGTCCTGGTGGAATCAATTACCTAACCTTTTGCCCCGTTCTGGATAGCTAATGCCACTGGAGTTATTTCGTGACTCTTCTATTTTTAGTAATGATACAAAAATATTGTTATCATCGAAGAAAAATTTCATATTTTCAACAAGTACTTTACGATAAATGTAAATGACGTTCAGTCGTCCAGAATCACAGAAGAAAAAAAACAATAGAAGTGCCTAAAGCCTCGATTACTATCGGAACCGATGTGGCCAAAACTCTCACATTCTTAATTTGAAACACAACAAAATCTTGACATTGATTGGTCGTAGTTTCAAATTTAAAAAGAAATAAATTCTAGACTGTTAATATAATTTAAACTTTACACTGTTGGCATATCGTTGATAGTTCAATACCATCAACACCTACTATAGCAAGTTACGACGTTTTGATATTATATTGAATGAATTATTATTAATAAATTTCAATCAATGTGCTGCCGTGCCATCTAGCGCTTAATTTCTGAACGACGACGAATTGGAGTTACTAATTTAGTTCTCCAAAAAAGAATCGACCATATTGCAGATGTATAAGGTTTACTTTCGTTTCTTGTAACAAAAAAAATATTGATAAATAGAAAATTGAAAATTGATTAAAATAAGAATACTTTCCGATGATATGAAAAGGGTAATATTTTGGGTGCTGCTATCATTTTTGCTCTTCAAAACAACGCAATAAGGCATTTTCTATGATTTTAGAGAATTTACACGAAAGAATGACACAAGCATACCATATTAAAAACGCCTTGAATTGGAGAATAGCAAAATCAACCATTAAAATAATTGCTCCTTATAATAAAATTTAGGCGCTATTCATAAAAATAAATTTGCATGCGTGACAACCACCCTTAGAGGTAGATGATTTTCTTCAAAAATAAATGGGTCCACTATGGAGGTACCCTCTTTCCAACAAAATCAGAATCATGAAAATCGGTTCACAAATACCGGAGTTATCGCGTAACATACATACCGAAAAAAACATACAGTCGAATTGAAAATCTCCTCCTTTTTTTGAAGTCGATTAAAAATGGCCTTGAGCTCAGATGGGTCTTTCGAGATGTTCGAGACCTATTCGTAGACGCCCGTTTCCATATTTGCATAACACAAATTTGTACCTTAATAATGGGAAAATAGAGATGAATAAGCTGTAGGCGAAAAACATACGCTTCGACTCTGCGCCAGTGTGAGTTGAGCCTAAGTGTAATTTTATGTAATTTTAATAACTTTTGGCGATGAAGCAACATGCAAGACGACTATTTAAAGCTGGTTTGCAAAATTCAAACGCGGTCGTGTGACGAATCTCAGTGACGAATTTCGTGATGGTCGCTTGTGTGGACGAGCTGTGAACAACAAATACATCGAAGTTTTGCGCCGTACGATGAAAACAGACAGGCATGTGACATACCATGAGATTCGGGCATCTTTAGGCATAGGCATGAGTCAAATACAATCAATACTATACAAACATTTGGGTGTGAAAAAGCTGTGCTCTCGATGGATCCCACACAATTTGATTGAGGCTCAAAAAACGGACCGCGTCACTTGGTGCAACGCCATGCTCACCGGACTCAACGAAGGGGCGTCAAATTTGGTGTGGGACGTAGTAACAGGTGACGAAACATGGATTTACGATTCCAAAACAAAGCAGCTATCGAGCGTATGGGTCTTTTGAGATGAGCCGAAACCAACCAAAGTGGCGCGCGTGCAAAGTGCCTCTAAGCGGATGATTGCTTCTTTTTTTAATAAAACTGGACACGTGGCTACTGTTGCTTAGGAGAATCGTTGTACCGTGAATAGTGATTGGTACACGACATTTTGTTTGCCGCAAGTTATTGACAAACTCCGTAAAAATAACCGTAAACGCCGTATCATCTTGCACCGCGATAATACATACCAGTTCTCACACGGCCAGACAGACAAATGAATTTTTGAAGGTGAACAACGGTGACCTTATGAGCCATCCCGCGTACAATCCCGACCTGGCAACTTGCGAATTTTTTTATTTCCAAATGTGAAGAACCAGTTACGCGGTCAACGATTTTCATCACCTGAAGAGGCTGTCGAAGAGTATGAAAAATATGTTTCAGAGATTGTCACGAAGGAGTGGGATAAATGTTTTCAAAATTAACTCATTCGTATGAAAAAAATGCATTAACGCTAACGGACAATATTTTGAGAAGCAATAAATACATTTCTGATCATTTATAGTATTTTTTTCTTATTCAATCCGGAAACTTACAGTGCGGCCCACGTATATTAAAACAATTACTTCAAATAAAAATGTAATGGGGCTTACCTCTTACCGAAAACACCCGTAAAATTATATTGAATACTTTGTGAAAACTTACAGCTCGCATACCTAGTGATAACGTGTATGTGGGAAGTAATACGTGTCAGGCTATGATATTCAGCACTGTAAACTCTTAAGTAGCGTGTATTGTGTGTGTATTGAGATATGCAGAGGCGCGAAATGATTACTCGCGTGGTTATACCCAACTGAGGAGAGTTCGATATTACAGCGGAATTAAATTGAGGTGCTCATTAGAAAAATGTGAAAAAAAAAGAATACGTAACTTTTACAGATTATATTATTTGTTTGCAACTCTTGTATTAAGTCTATGTGTGTATGAATAGAATATGATAAAATTGAAATGGAATAGCAGTTACATTTTAGTTGCATTATTGAAAACGTATTCGTATGATACTACGACAATATAAATATTTCATAAAATTTTGTGTATTTACAGAAATACACAACATTTTTTGAGGGATAACTTAACTTAACCCGTTATGCACTAGCGTTGCCATATGGCAACACGGTATCCAAAAAATAAAGATGATATGAAACTACAACTTTTATTATTTATTTCGTTTTAATGTGTATCCAAGCACATTTACGAATTTAAGAAAAATAATGTTACTTTAATTTTTTTATTATTTTGTCGGTATATAAAACTTTGTTGAGGAGGGTACCCTTGATCACATTTTCTTTGAATGTCCTAAATTGACTTCCTCCTTGTATGACCTCCTTCCTTCTTCCATTCCTCGTCCTTTTAACCTTAAATCTCTCCTTCTATAAGTGTACTCACCCTTTATTAACATTTTGTGTGATTTTATACGCTCTAATAATATAATACTTTTTTTAGTCCGTTGTTTGCCCATGATTGTTTTTTTACCCCAGGTATGATCTCCACAACAGCATACCGTCGAAAAGACTCATCTAAAAATAAATACCTTGCTAGTACCGAAACGTTGACGTTATTGAACAATATTAACTGACAACATTAATCAAAACTGACACTGGCCTAAGCCTAGTGACCGCCATTAAGGGAATAGAATAGAATAAAACTTTGTTGGAAAAGTCAGATTGAGAAGTAAGATTTTCTTTTATTATTAATATGTTAAAGTGTTATAATTTATGAACATATTATTTTTGTCACCTTTGACTTATAGTAGCGTAAGAAATAAAAACAGAATTGTTAAAAATTACATGCATTACTACAGTTTCATTACCGTTGCCATTTGGCAACGCTAGTCCGTATGAAGTACATTTTTTCACAAATTTACACTTGTTATCGTTTGAGTTTGACTTTGGCTGACGTAGTCGATTAACTTGAAACAGTGAAATGTCCACATTCCTGACGTGTACATAGAACCATAGGACGTAGCGGAATTTACCGGCCAACATTCTGCGAGTGAAGACGAGGACCCTACCTACATGGAAACCCTATCAGGTCGACATTTTCGCGCGCCGGTCGAGCTTCGAGTTACATCTCCGGAGCCGGTGGGTACCTCCGAACCTCCCAATAAAAAACGCAAAATCTCTGATCATGCTTGAAAAAACCAATTTCCTACTTGACCCCAAAATCATATATCATGAGCTTAAGTACTTTCTAGTCATTTTAGTAGTATCAATGTACAATAAGTTACTTAGTAAAAAACCCTTATTGCTACGGGTGATGATATATTATACATAAATAGTATAAAAAATACAGGATCGGGATTCGCGGTAAAAAATGGTCGTGGCCGATGTTCACGTGGTTCATAGATGTAAATAAGATAAATAACTTTTGGATTTTGATGAAGATGTCTGGCAAAAATGTATCATAGTTAGATTTTCGGAAAGAAATCGCTAAAACTTATTTGAAGAATATGGTACTACACCAGAGATTGGAGGACGTCTTTTTTGGAGAAAAGTTTTGCCAGGGGTGCGATATAATGGTGAAAATCATTCCATCAAACAAACAGAGAAGAAAAGAAGATGTACGGGAGAGGGTTACAAAACAATAAGTGGACTAATTTGTACTAAATGTAATATGGGTTTATGTCCCAAATGTCTTGAAATATACAATTTTTTTGCTGCCATTACATGCTTTTTATTTATTAGCCAACTGCTGCTAAGACATACGTAATTTGTATGGATGTAATGTTTGTATGGAGCTAGGCTGCCATCTACTACAAACAATGACTAAGTAGTAGACCAACCTATACTAGAATTAGATATTTTGTATCCACTTTGGCCTAGTATTGCCATATTATGGCAACAAGTCAAAACTCAAAAACGCCAAAAAAAAAATTTCTTTTTCATATTTTTTACACACTCAAAATAACAAATTTAGCCTGATTTTAAAATTCCAAGAAAATCTGTAAACATTTAAAACTCTGTCTCTAATGGAAATGAAAACTACACAACGACCTCCTTAGCATACACACAGGGGGAAAGACGGGAAGACTGATCGAAAGGCAGATGGACAGATCAACTGATGGACGAAAGGCGGACAAACGACTATACAGACTTACAAAGAAATAGTAAGTGTTTGACTACGTAAACTCAATCCAAAAAGCGCAAGCGCATTGGGCTAGCTTGTCTATTTAATCAGTACAGAGTAGTAAAAAAACCGACCTGAAAAGTTCGTGAAATTACATCTATTTGCCTAATTTTACCGGAAAGTGCACGAAACTTGATTCATCTTCTAGTTAGTCACCCTTAGAGGTGGAATATTTTTTCAAATTTAAATGGGACCACTTCCGAGGTAACCTCTTTCCAACAAAAAAAGAATCATCAAAATCGGTTCATAAATGCTGGAGTTATCGCGAACATACATACAAAAAAAGACAGTCAAATTGAGAACCTCCATTTTTTTGAAGTCGGTTAAAAATACATTCGAATTGCGAACTTCCTTTATTTGAAATCGGTTAAAAAGTATATGCCGGTTAGGGATTGGAAGTGGTGAGTCTTATTCCTCATATTTTGTATCGTCTATTTACAATACCTGATTCGTGAGCTGCGACTGCAATAACGTAGGCTTCGTCTAGGACCTGTCCTACAAGATGCACGGCGAGGAGGGCAGCAACGCGAGGGTCGAATGACTCTCCATCATCTACGGAAGGCATCTTCATTAATTTCATCAACAACTTACCACAACGGCCAATTTCACCCACCCACCTAAAAGTAAAGGTCGGAAAACCGAAATAGTAAATCAAGATCTGAGAACACACCTTCCCTATTTGTCATCTTGTCTGTTTTCTTTATGACGTTTTTTATCATTTTTCGTTAATATATACCGTCACGGCCAGTGTGAAAAGAGATTCATTTTTAATGACAAAATTGTTTCACACTTTTTATAGCCTACAAAAGAGGCTTTCCTTTTGTCCTATTTAATCCAATACTAAATGAATGGAAACTTTTTAGTGTTTCTTTTCTGATAGGATATACAAATTTTATTTTTTAATTAGATTATGTGGCACAAAAAAATATTGTATAATATGATATAATTATGTATAATATAATATAATAAAAAATATAATATGAAATTAGGATAGCATAATTTGGCAAATAATAGAATAATGATTTAAACAGTATACCATGATTCATATCATATGTAAAATGTAAACTGGCCTTGCAGACAGAACGTTAAATTTTATTGTACACTAAAATAGAAGAAAAGAGACTTTAATGCTCAGAAATAGAGCGCTAGAAATATTCGCTTCGCCACATATTTCGTCGCATATCCCATAGTTAGCTACATTGGTATATAACAATCTATAAAATGGAAACTGTTTAGTGCTGCCACTCCCAGATGCTCTATTTATAAAGTAAATTGCCTAGCACTAAGCAATCGTAAACATGATTGATATCCATCAATCTTATTAAGTAATTCAACTATAGTAGAAATTAATGTTTATTTGTACACAAGTGAGTATTCGCAGTTGTATAGTTTTTTGTATTGCAAATAATGTTTATGAATTCTTTTATATTGCAGCTGGTAATTATCGCAATCATGACAATAAACAACTTTATAATAGTCTTTCACTGAGTTCACTGACTAAAAACATCGAGTATATAACCAGAAATAGAGACGAAATAAGGGCCATACATTCATGGTAACACATTAGCGATACAGCTCTTATAAATATCAACGTATCTCGTTTGCACTGAAATATAGATAGGCCAACTACTGACCTGTGTGTACGTCTCCATATATTCCAAAAAATATTCTGTATTTATTGTAATAAAGATAATATCTCTAACAATGCCGTGCTGTTCTATTCGGTGATGTGGGAAAAGCAGCAAGACATCTAATTACAAAACAAACGGAGTCACATTTCATCGGTAATTAAATATTAAATATGTAACTTTGCAATTTTCGTCCATTATAATAACGCTCAAGTTAACTGGTCGATTTGAAATGAAACAGTTGACGACAACCTTTGACAACACCCATCAATTGTTTCGAACTCGGGCTGGCCAATCGGAGCGCAAATGTCACAGTAATGATATGGCAGAATAGTTTTCAAACAAATTAAATGACATTTCGTCTCTATTTCTGGTTATATACTCGATGACTAAAAATTTCCGTCACCTGCACTCACAGAAACCTATAGATTTCTGTCTGTACTTTATTTTGTTATTTTCTTTATGTAGAACCTAGTACGGATGTAAAAATTTTTTTTCACAGTTTTTGTTGTAATCTATAGGATCATCATCATATCTCATTCATCATCAGACTTTACATTCTAATAATTCTCGAACAATTAAAATATTAGCCAAACGACCAGTTTACTCCAAAACTAATCATGACCTAGTTTTCCAGATGCTGAAGCCTATCCGGCGCCATTTTGACGTTACCCTGACAACGAGTGGCTGCGGCTTCCAGTCGCACAGTCTGCGCATACAGATCAATGAAGTCTTTATAGGGCTACCCTATAAAGATTTTACAGCAATTAATAAATAATTTTGGCAATTAATGAGGGTAACCTTCCGTACCTCTTCGTCATCATATGACGTAGTTTAATGTGGAAACACATTTTTAAACAATTTTCGTTTGTTTGGGATCGACTCTATCTATAGTCTAGTTACAACTCATATAAACCTCTATTAATACGTACAAGTTCCAGCGAGAGCAACAAGAAACAATTCAAAATGTATATGATCTTATAAATCATTTCTATGCAACCTTTTTTCATATTTGATAAATAACTTTATTATTTTAATTTACGAATATGATTGTCAGACACAAATAAAAAGTTATTGAATTGCTGCACCCTTCATACAAAATTGTCAACCCTATTAGCAGAGTGCGCGAAGGTTCACTTCGTGCCAAGCCTTCCTCTAGCTACGCGTCTGTTTCGTCTTATCATAATTTTATCACGCCGCGTTTTTTACCTTACAATCCATCCTGTGTTGAAATGTAAATTGTGCTTTTGAAAATGATTACAAGTCATCTCTGCATTATTTTCTGTGCTAATGGACGTCTATTGGTGTAGGTAAGTCAGTTAATTCATCAACGGTTGAGACGTCTTTTATTTTACTTAGGACTATGTAAAAGCTAAGTAATATACCAATGTTCGATAAAAAATAAATAATAATTGTAAGATAAATCTTCAGTTATTTACAAGACGTACTAGTATAGACACCGTGATATCTCTTTATTTGTATATCCAAAAAAAGCGTATCAGCTATTAAGGACATGTATATTTTCGTACACGAAAATATATGAAATACTTGCGATCAAATACCTCGAAACAACTCTACTTTCACACGCCTATTTAAATCTCGATTTGTTGTAGTGCTTTATCAATATTTAATAAGTGCATAACTTTATGTCGTTGCCTTGAATTTCTTTTATTCGAAAAGCTGTTTTACATCTGATATCCATATACTGAAATGATCTTATAAGATGATTGATATACTCGTAGCACTAAATACGTTTTGTATGATCAGGTTTCATTCAAGATGTTGCAGCTGAAAGAAATAGCGGAAGAGGATCCCAACAAGGATGAAGTGGTGCCAATCCCCGTTCAGATCTTCCTCTGGAGACAGTCAACGCCTTTCGTTCGACCTCGACTTGGAAAAGTTCACGATGCCGCTTGCATGGTAAGTAACTAATTATAATTAATATCAAATACTTTCGACTGCATTCTTTCTACACAAAACTTGTTTGCTGCAAACATGATGCTTGTAGTAATATTTTGTCATGGTGTGTACCTCACGAATAATAATCAACGCTACGCTTTTCTTTTATGCAGTTCTGTCAACGAGCACCGGGACATCATGTAAGTAATCATCATACACATACACTTCATTTTAATTAAGTTGGTGGGTAGTACAGATAGTACATCGCCCCAAGATACCTGACTCTATACATAGGGCGCACTATAAGTTTCCGGAACAGGCCACTTATATAAACAACATTTAAAAAGTAATTACAACATTTGAAAATGGAACAATTTGGCTGTAGAATATAGTTTGTTTCATCTGACTGTCACTTGTTTTTACATTGTGGCGTCATTTTAGAAATTGGTTGTCTACATAACCATGGATTTAACATGGATTTTCTATGACTTTAAGTGTAATTTAACAGCTCAGCGGAGCTTCGCTCGGCTTCAAACTGCTTTTGGCGATGAAGCACCATGCAATACGACTATTTATAGCTGGTTTGCAGAATTCAAACGCGGTCGTGTGAATCTCGATGTCCACTGCTGTGAACAACAAAAACATCAATGCTGTGTGCCGTATGATCAAAACAGACAGGCATGTGACATACCGTGAGATTCGGGCATCTTTAGGCATAGGCATGAGTCAAATACAATATATACTACACAGTCGGTGGATCCCACGCAATTTGACTGAAGCTCAAGAAGCGGATCGCGTCACTTGATGCAATCCCATGCTTACCAGATTCAACGAAGGGGCGTCAAACGTGGTGTGGGACATAGTAACAGATGACGAAATATGGATTTATAGTTACGATCCCAAAACAAAGCAGCAATCGAGCGTATGGGTCTTTAGAGATGAGCCGAAACCAACCAAAGTGACGCGCGTGCAAAGTGCCTCTAAGCAGATGATTGCTTCTTTTTTGTAATAAAACTGGACACGTGGCTGCTGTTGCTTTGGAGAATCGTTGTACCGTGAATAGTGATTCGTACACGACACTTCTTTGCCGAAAGTTATTGACAAACTCCGTAAAAATAACCGATAATGCCAGTTCTCACATGGCCAGACAGACAAATGAATTTTTGAAGGTGAACAACATTGACTTTATCCCGCGTGACGAGCACCTTGTTACTTTTATTTGTTCCAAAACTTAAGAACCAGTTACGCGGTCAACGATTTTCATCACCTGAAGAGGCTGTCGAAGAGTATGAAAAATATGTTTCAGAGATTGTCACGGAGGAGTGACATAAATGTTTTCAAAATTGGTTCATTCGTAGGAAAAAGTTCATTAACGCTAACGTATAATATTTTGAGAAACAATAAATTCATTTCTGACCATTTATGGTATGTTTTACTTATTCATTCCGGAAACTTATAGTACGCCTCACGTAAACGACCTTTTGGTTCAGAGCATAAGTGTGAAGGAAAGTGTTAAACAAACTTAATCTTTAAATTGCGAGTAGAAAAATTTATTTCGTATATTTTCCTGACTTTTGTTAATGAAATGTAAGTAGTTTTGGTTAAATTAAAATGAACATTTTTAACTCCAACGTTTTTCTTTTACTATAATGTTAAAATTCCTTTCCTGTTGAATGTGTGAGTTGCCCTCAGAACCAAAAGGTCTATCAGAAGGCAAACCTTTGGGGCACCGACTGTAACCTTCTATTTACTTCGAATTGTCTCTTTCTTTTTTGATATTGGTAAATAACAAGAAGCTAAAATCTTATTACAAAGTTTCTCATCAGCGTTATCGAAGTACTTTATGTCGGCAAGTTTGCCAACCTGAAACGTCTCTAAGGTCTACTACGAGTATATAAGGTTACAGTTTGTTGCAGAATATTTGTAAAGGCATTATTTTCGTAACACAGAGCCGAGTTATTTTCATTAATATCAGCTGAAACAGTTCGCAGTTCGTACACATTTATTTCCCGTTGGTTTATTGATAATGATAATTTTATATTAATCCGAAGTAAAATTCGCAAATGTGAGTCCCTACGTACTTGTACACGTATGTATGTACACACGCCAGCACATCAAGCTACAGATTGACGTATCTTGTTCCATTGCAATGGAGGCGATTTTCGAGTGAAAATGTGTAGTCTGATGTGCCGTTGTCCGTACATTAGTGTGGCTTTAATACAATCGTTTCAATAAGGAATTACTGAAACATGTACTTGTCCGTCTGGACAAAAATATATTTATGTATGAAAGTACAGAGCGTAAAGAGCACGTTAAGCTTGACACTTAAGACTTAAATCCAAATCTACGCCGCTTACGATAAGTGTCAAGAGCACATCAAGCTTGACACTTGGTACTTTGGACCGTTCTTATCGTAAGCTGCATAGAGTTGGATTTAAGTCTTAAGTGTCAAGATTGTCACTTGAGCATTATTCCACTTTTGATACCAACTTTTTGAGTAGGTACCTAATTTAATTAGTTTTAAACTTATTATCCGAGATCTCGACTGTATGAAGTTGTTAACGACTTCACGCAATAACTGCAAACATACAGTCAATCTGTTAACTGCACAACTGTTTTGTGCATAGGTGTGTCGGTTACCACGAGGCGCACGATTTGTTCGTGCCGTCACTAGGCATTATAAAAATAAAAGATTATCCTAAAACAGTTTATAAAAATATCATCTTTTTCAACCTTGTACTTTTACAAAAATATCACCTTGTATATACGTACTTCAAATTTACTTAGCATTGTGTGATCTTAAACCGAAAAGACAATAAATCGCGTATATGAACTCTGGTATTGTTAAGCGTTTTTTTATTATTTAAGATAATGGATTTTTTTCTATTCGGCTAAATATGGCCACTATTTCCCATCTGTCAATGTCACGAAATTTGTCTGACGTTTTTTCCAACAACTGTCATTAAACTTTGTTTACAAACATGGAACATATTTTGATAATTCGTCAATGATCTTATAATATTTTATATTATGGTGTTCTTTAACTTCGCTTTTTTCTTCAAATGGACATTGGTGATGGCGTCAGTTTTAACCCTGATATTGGCAGAATCATCCTTGGAAATCGATAGAGCCATCATAAAGAAATTGAACTTGGAACATAGAACATGCTTAGAATTATCGTTCTTTTAAATTAAATGAAATAATCAAACGTTTTAATTCCTCATGCCTACCTTTTAGGAAGTCAAAGAAGCTTGCAAGGTATGTTTTACAACGAAGTTTATATTTAACAAATTTTACAATGAAATTTCGTGGAGTTTTAAAACCGTATTATTTTGGTAACCTTTAATGAATCATATTTGCAGTCTTTCGAGAAGGTGTTAGTACAAGATCTTCGGTTTGGTCTTTCTGCGAGTCTCTCTGAAGCAATAGAGGCAATTCCACGATGGAGGCTTATTCAGGCTTCCTTTCCACACGTCATGCATGCACTGGCGGCTTTGTTGCACAACAGGTGAATATAAAAAAAACTTCTTTAATAAAAACTTCGTATTTGATGTACCACCTACATGTAGTTCATTGCACTCAGTGATTTTTAAAAATTGTCTTAGAATTGTTCAAAAATGTTTATTCTTAAGTTATCTCTACATTATGTGTGAGTAATCATGTACTATGTATTCTTTACTCAATAATAAGAAATTTCATTTATATTTGCAAAACTGACAAAACTGGAAGAATATGTAAGAAATTTAAAATAAAATTAAGATTAAATTTATTTTTAAACATGTATAATTCTGCAATAAAAACAGTCTTAAAATTATAAGTTACTGTAATTTTTATTATTGTATAAAATGCAGACTTCTCGTTTCTTTATTTTTTATTTTATTTTATTTGATGACCTCTGTGGGCGAGTGTTTTGCAAACTGGTTTGCATGTGATGCCCCATGTGTGATCCCCGGCCGGGTTGGTACAAAAAAATTAACTTTTCTATATTGTCTCGAGTCTGGGTGTTTGTGGTACAGTCATAGTTTCCGATTTCCACAACACAAGTGCTTTAGTTACTTTGTGGTCATAGGAACAGGTGATGTAGTCTAATATTTATTTTCTATTTTATCTACATAAACACTTCTGGCACAAATAAATTAATATGATACTTTTTTTTGCTTGCATTTTAGCTTGTATTATTGCAATTTGTAAACTTATATTTCAGGATAAAAGACAACATGCAGTCCCTAGGAAATGTGGAAACAAAACTACTGTACACACTACATTGGATCCTATTAGATGCATCAGATGAATGTGCCGAGGCTGACTATGAAAGTGGTATCTTCTACTCAAACCCTTTCCACTACTTGTTTTCTGTACCTGCTATGACTGTAAGTTTAGGTTTAAAAATTTGTTCATTCAAAATTCTGAAATTCTTTGTTGAATAATTTGTTCCTTGCCTTAACTTCATAAAAATCAAAATACTTAACTGTTGTGTGCATAAATATTGTTATATATATTTATATAAATTCCTACAATTCAAGCAAAAATTGAATGTATTTTATTTTAAAATGATACTGTTAGAACCGCGGCACTTTGAGACCATCTTTCTCATCCGCTAATGTGACTTACAAAATGCGATTTTTTCTTTCGCATACAAGTTTTGAGAGTCTAGTTCTTAAATAAGGTGATGATGATACAAGTTTTATGAAAAAAATCAAATTTCTAGTATTATAACAGTGATAGTTGATAAGTGGTACATGACACTACTCAATATAGTACAAGACATAGTATTTTATTTCCTCTATGAAAAGCCATTTTTTATTAATTATCTAAGCAGATACAGTCAAGCTTGAC